TATATATATATATATATATATATATATATATATATATACATACCTCAGGGATCCCAATGATTACGAAAATCTTCTCACGACACCCCTAGTTGTTGTTTAGCAACCACTTCATTAAATGATCAAACAGCTTCTTTGGCCTCATCAAGTCATTTCATACTTTTTGTGATTCATTACGATGCAGCTTTGAAAATGTTAAAATAATATTTTCCTTCTGAAACAAGTCTGACTTCTTCAGTTCGCTGATAAATTTTGGTTTAGCTATATTCAGTTGAGCAAACCAGAGTAGATTCTGCTATGTGGTTTTGCAGAATTAAAAGTTGTACTTATTACTTTGTGTTGTAGGCGTCCTGCAGTTTTAAATCCTTCATTACTTTGTATATAATACACAAAGTATTGTATGCCATTAGATTCATCTTGTGCAGTAGTGTTTTGGTGGTGTGTTTCATTTTTCAAGCTGTAAAGCTGCAGATTTCTTTCAGTAAATCTGACCAGGACTGACCAGTGGACTGACTGGTTCGTGGAATGGAACGCTGAGTGTGTGACAGTACAGCAGAAGAGATAGCTTCTCACATCTCTGCAAGGAGAAACAAAGTAAGAGGAATATTGTTAGAAAATGAAATTTAAAGATTTACTTGTAAGTCAGATCAGATTTCACTTCAGCAGTTTGTTAATTAACATACCAGACAACTGACTGTTTATAAAAACCTACCCTCTGGTCCTGGTCGGAGAGGGTGTAAGGCACTTTGACTCCCCCACAGGACTGGATGCTCTCCACAGGATCTGTGTCGGTTCTACACAGCGTACACACCCAGTCACCTCTGACGATTTACAAAGTGAACATAGAAATAAAACATTTAAGAAAAACATAAAAATCACATGTTTTTTCAGACTATTGCAGACAATTACATTGCTTTAGGTTTAGGAATCACAGATTTATGAGTATTGTCACTTTCACAACATATCAAGATACCAAAAAAAGCCTTAAAGGTGCATAATCATCCTATATTCCAATACCAAATAGAACAAAACACAGTTGATTATTTTAAAATCAGGCTGTATACTCAAAGTGTTGGTCCTGACAGTGTTTTGATCATCCTTTTTGAGCCTAAATAGAACCCCAACCCCACGGTGCAACACCGTGGTGATCAAATGTAGGATATGGCTTAAAAGCATTGCTAACACCAGTAGCACTATTAGCAAGGACATGTCTTTCAACTTCACAGTTACATCCTATTGCTTCCAGAGCTTAAGCTCCAGTTTTAGCGTGTTTCCCAACACAACTCTCACTTATATCCCACTTTTAATCAAGCATCTTCTTGCATCTTTTTATCCTTGATCCTGGACAATGGGAGTTCCTCACTCGCTGGCCTCCATTGCTTTGATATGCTGACCACTTATATACATAACTAGTGACATAATCTGCATCACATTATGTTATTATGGCAGATATACACAGGAATACTATATTTACTACCAAATTAAGCAGAACAAAGCTTAAATGAGAAAAATAACAAATACCGGTACTACGCCAGAAGGAGGCCGCCATTTGTCATAAAAACATTGTATGCAACCCGGGTGACTTAGTGGCATATACATCTAAATGATGTCAAATAGGGTGACTATAAGTGACTATAAAACTTATAAGATCTCCAAGATGCAAATGTGGATCAATCACAGGAAATCTGGAAAATTTAAAATAAAATGTAATTTTATTTGGAATTTTAAGCAATCACAATGCTTTTCCTTATGTGCCTTTTTTTTTTTTTTTTTTTTTTTTTTTTACAGAGGTGTGAAGTGCCTAACTATAAATACTTTGTTATATTTATGTATCTTTTTTAAAAACATAAGTACTTTACTTAATTTTTTTTTCTGCATATTTTTTACTTTTACTCAAACACCAGAGCCCAAAAAAAGTCAATCTATACCCCACTAACTGAAATTTTCATTTAGAACAAAACAACACCAAATCATTATTATGTTCTCTTTAGATGAAAATTGAACATGTCCTTGTGCATAGAATGTTTTATTAAATAGTTTTAGGTTATCTTGTATTGTTTAAAACAAAACCTAATGTGTCTTTTGTACTTAAGTGCAGCGTAGAAACTGCACCTTTTTACCTGACATTAAGGACTTCAGTCGAATACTTTAACCTTCACCAGAAGTTTTGTTTACGTATCTAGCTTCACTTTAAGGGATCCACGACTAGTTGTAACAATAGATTTTATTTGAGAAATATACATTTTAAATGTAAGGTAAATGTAAAGTCAGTAAAAAATACTGTAATTGTTTCGTTTTTATAAATGTAAATAAAATATTATGACATAGATGTCATCATGTTGCTTACACTGCAATTCATTCTGAATAAATGATGTTTGGTAGGAAATGCTGACCAAAGAACTCCAGTTTCTAAATGTAATCTTTTTTTTTTATTATGATTATTATTATGATACAGGGTTATTGCACAAGGGCTTAACATGGGTATCTACATGGGTATTTATCTATATAACTATTGTGGATCTGGATCTTTATTTACATTCTGCATTAATATAATTATATTGTTAATCATTTGATAGATGTATCATGATGGATCAATGCTGATACACCCCTAGTATGGGTACAGGTGGGAGAGGAGTACCACCCAGCAGCACATCATGCCATCCAATAACTTCAGCATGGTGCAGCAATCTAATCAACCTAACAATTTGAATCCTAGATATATAAAATGTGTCTTTTTGGCTTAGTTTCATTAAAAGATCCCCATAGTTGCATATAGGGCAGTGAAAGGAACAGATGTACTCTATAGCCACTTTAGAATGAACTAGCCTTATTGAAGCAACCCCAGACAGATGTGGCCATGAGTAAACTATAGTTATTGGAATGTGACCAGTATGCATAGTAAACAGTCAAATTCTCTGATTATTACATCATGCAGGTGCACCTGGCCACAACTTATTGAATAACAGCCGTCCCTGCTGCCTTCTACCACAAATTAATCCTAATAAACTGTTTGGGAATTTTTTCATTCTAGCAAATAAAATAGTTACGCCGCCACAAAAGATATATCAGGGATCCTGCAGAGAAATTAATTTTGTCCCATTATTGTTGCAAGCAAAGAACACATTTTGTAAATTGAATTTTGAAAAATTGCACTTTTTTATTGTTTTGAGAGTAACTTTGCTGTTTTCACAGATTTTCTTTTCTTTCTTTTTTTACCACAATTTATTTTTCAAATTTTATATTGTCATATTTACATTTTTCAAAAATACTTTTTATAGATTTTCTTTTTTTTTTCTTTTTCAGATTTAATAATAATTGAATTGCAATCTTTTCAAATCACATCTCACAGATCACATTTTTTTAACTTGAAGCCCACCACAAACACTCCCTCTTGCTGTGCACATTAACCATTTCAATGTTGTTAAGATCGATGCAGACAGATAGAAATTAGTCTATACTCCTCATTGCAGAGGAAAGCCCGCCTCTGGAAGTAAAGAGAATGTGATCTGAAAAACGTCATTTGAAAATAAGGTTTAGCTGTCCATACACAGAACGTTTTTGTTCCTGTTGCCATTTAAAAAAACATGTTTTTTGCTAGCAACAATAATGAAACAAAATTCAAATCATAGAGAGACCTTTTTGGTTTAATCTTAGTTTGGTCTGAAAGGTGCTCATGGACGAAAACCCTTTAAACATCCTGAAAACGTGATTATGTCCTGAGGGATGTTACATCTGATTAACTTCTGTGTGTTCCTGCAATGCTTACGTTGGGAAGCTGCTTAGAGAAGGTATATGACAAGCCAGATGGTAGACTTTAGGGCAGCGGTCACAGCAGAGCAGATCTCCTCCATTCATGCAAACGGCACAAAAATCTTCACTCTCTATCTGTTCAGCTCCAGATTCAGCCTCCTGTTTGGCTACGCTGCAGAGATCAGCGCTTTGATCTTCACCCTGCTCCATTTCACAAACATCAGCTTCAGATTTTATATCAGCTTCCTCTTCCAGCTCCAGACACAGCTCCAGATTCGCCTCTTCTTCCTGGTCCACCTTGATCACCACGGCCTGCTCTGCATCTGGATCCAGGTAAAAGGTTTCTGAATCGCTTTTTTCATCATCAGATCCGGAATCCAGAAGGATGTATGGCTGGTCTGGGTTGGATTCACAGTCAAAGCCTGAGTCTTGCTCTGGTTCTCCGTATGAGGAGCTTTCAGGACAGTAGGGTTCGGTCCAGGATGTCGAGCTGGTTTCTGCCTGACACTCATCTTCTGACTCTGCTGCTCCATACTTAGGTGATAAATCATCAATTTCCAAAATGTCTTCCTGACTTAAACTGAATCCATTCTGTCAGGAAACAGTAGGACATATTCAGAAATTCTTCTCATTTTCAAATCATCCTTATCTTTGTCTTTTGTATAAAATGTCTAGTTTGTGTACCTGCAGAGGACAGCTCAGAGAAACAATGTCTTCTTGGAGAGGCAGTCGAACCAGAGACACCACAGGCTGCAGAGATGACGACGTGACACACTGGAAGTTCAGACGCTCCAGGCTCACAACAGCAATGGATGAATCACCCAGAATCCTCTGGGCCTCGGGGTGAATCCTGGTAGAATAACTCAAAGGTGTGAGACTTTTTATGACCTCGGCAAATCAAAAACTCATCTAGTTATTTTCAGAAACTCATGCTGCAGTGTTTCAGACAACCTAAAGCTTTTCAGTAACAGAGCCTCTAAAACATCAATATACCAAGAGGATAAATGAGAGAAATTAAAGAGTATTGGATATGGAAATAGAAAGAAAAACAAAAAGGCAAAATTTAGGTAGAAATAAAACACCTTTGTACCAATAATTACAGTTTGTATTTTCAAAAACCACAAACATAAGTTCTTTTTCCTCACATTAACTACTGCTTACTGCTACAAACAGAGACAGACGTTCTCTGCAACCTGCTGTTTTCCATTGTGAGGTGCAGGTTGTGCCACTTTCTCTTATGCAAAGTCAAAACTAATATCCAAACAGTGCCGTATTGCTGGTAACAGTGCCTGTACATAATAATAATAACATCCATTCCTTGTCCTGCATACACACCTACTCTTTACAGGACTGCTTTGGCTGTTTTTGCACCAGCTCATTATTAAGATATTCACACCATTTCCTTCTGCTTTCACATTTTTTTCATGCTGGTGACGATTCTCACTCATTCAGTTCGTAGTCATTCCGAAAAAGGTTTTTAAAAAGTTACAAAAACAAACCACTGGACTTTGCTTTCCAAATCTGAAGATGTTTCGCTTCCCATCCAGGAAATTTTTTTCAATTCAAATTCAACCACTCGCATGTTTTCTAAGCCATAACAAGGCTGTTGTTTATGCCACCCTATAAACCTGAAATTAAATGCTACTTCAGACATTTTGAATTGAGAAACCGTCCTGGATGGGAAGCGAAATGTCTTCAAACTTGGAAAACAAAGTCCAGTGGGTTTTTTTTTTTACTTTTATGGAATCACATCTTGTCATTCCTCAATGCATTTTCTTTGGACTACCAAAAAGTAATGCACACCCGTGAAATGGTACATTATTATTTTGTTTAAAGCTCTGTTTTTCTTTCTCCACAACTACATCCAAAACTTTCCCTAAGATTCTTTTAGCTTCCTAAGGTTTTAGGAAGAAAATAAAAAATTAGTGCGTTATGAAGACTGAAAAAAGCAAATCTATCATCCAAAAAGTATTAAGAGCATGGCAAAACCACAACCTAAGAAAAATTGGACTTCCATCTCATCTGAAGGACCCAACCTGATGCGGTGGAACCCCCACTGTGAAATATATCTGTGGTAGCATCATGGTGTGAGTATATTTCTCTTCTATAGCACTAGGTTTGTTGGTAATTGGAGAGATGGAGGGAGAAGGCAGTCGATTAGAAGGGGCAGGAACTCCTTTCTTTGTTTCTTTTTCATAATTTGGGGGCGGGACTGTGGGCCCCCACACCCTCTATGGAATATTCTTATAAAGAATAATAGAATAATTTGATGTCTAATATTGTGGTTTTTCTGTTGAGTTTTTTTTTCTTTCCACAGGCAGACTTTAAGGGTGTTGACTTTTTTATCACTATGCTTTCTTGCCTCTACTTCTATCTCCTTCTTTCTCGAAAAACTTTTTCCACTCCTTTCTTTCCCCTTTTTCATTTTAGTGTCAATTACATTAATAATAAACCCAAAGACATTTCTAATAATGTTCAATATATATATATATATATATATATATATCAAGTAAAAACTTATAAAATACTAAAGGCAAAAGTTTGCCTTGCAGTAAAAGACATAAATACACAGTGAGGGCTTCCATGGGTTAGTTTAGAGCAGAGCACATTCCTGTGTTAGAATGGCCTAATCAATGTTGGAGGTTTCTTCCTGTTAAAAGGGAGTTTTTCCTCTCCACTGTCGCTACAAGCATGCTTAGTGTGAGGGATTGCATTGGAGTCAATGAGGCGATGCAATCAACTAGTTTTGCTTATACAGAAAACTTTGAATCAATTTGACTGGATGATTTGGTGAACTGTAAAGTGCCTTGAGATGACACGTGTTGTGAATTGGCATTATATAAATAAACTGAAATGAAATTGAAACTACAGCAGACTTGCTCCCATGTCTCTGAAATAAACTCAGTGTAGGAACGCAACTGCACACACACACACAAACAACCTAATACCTTCCAGTTTAATTAAAGGACTACTGCACAGTTGTTTGCACTAATATCAATGCAGATTATTTATAAAATAACAAATATGCCATATCTAAGTTGTTAACAAGAGATGCTGCTAAACAACATTTTGTTTGGCACTGTACAGTAATAATTCACCCTCTTCTGCAGAAAATTGTGGTAGTGCAAATTGGCTCAGGGGAGGTTGAATAAAAATACATCAAAGAGTCAAAAAGTATTTTCCTGCAGATAATTTGAAAAACAATCCATCCAACCAACCGACCATTACCGCCTGACCCTCGGGGTCATGGTGGGGTTGGTTCTTTGCTCCAGCTGTCTTTGAGAATCACTGTGCAACACAGAGACACATACAAGCAAACCATTTCCAGGCACACCTGAGGGCTAAACTAGTAGCCATGTTTTTTATTTACTCAAGTAAAAGTAATAACTGAGAAACAATTCAAGTAAAAATAACATATCATTATATCCTACAATTTCTAAAATGTTGATCATAATTTTTCAAACTTCAAATTTTAGGTAAAAGAGTAGATTCATTGCAAAATCGATCTAGAAATGAGTAAAAATGTCTTAAATCAACTATACTACCCTTAATCTGAGCAGGTAAATAAGATGATGTGCCAATGGAATGAGTATTTTTACTTTTAAAATAAAATGATTAGATGATATGCACTTGAAATCATGCAATTGTTTTTTCTTATTTCAAATGTAAATTGTCTTGTTCCATTGGCAAATTATCTCCCTTTCCTTCTCAATTTAAGAAAAAAATGCACTTATTTTAAGAAAAATTTAGAAAACTACATTTTTTTCTTATTATTTAAATCAGTATTAGTTGAGCAAACGCGATTAAATCCCCTCAGTTGCACAATTTCAAATCAAATGTTGATTTTTTTAAATAAACCTTCTAAAAACAACTTAGAGAAGGTAATGCTAATGTCTCAGGAAAAGCGCAAGGACCTGCAGTGACTGTATCAGATAGAAGTTAACATTGAAACAATGAAGCTTGTATAGAAACAAGAAAACCTGCCTCAACATAAACTCTGCAGGTCTCTGGTGAGTTTTTATTTTGTTCTCCAAACTTATTGGTAGAGTAGCCAGAAATTTTACTCAGATACTTAATGATTGTAATAATCAAGAAATCAAAAATTGACTCTTAAAAATAAGTAGCAACCAGAGGTGGAGGCAGACTGTTAGGAAGGTCCCTAGTCAAGTCACATGTAAAGAAGGTCAAGTCAAGCCGAGTCTCCAGTCAAGGTGAACTCAGGTCTGATATTTTACATTTAAGTCCTTTCAAGTTTGTTTATATTAAGACAAAATTGAGAGAAATGTTAAACCTAAGTAAATGAAAATGTGTTTGTCTTTTAAATCTGTATTTATATCAGCATCATTATAAAAACCAAAATATGATCTTTCTGCAACTTTGGTTCAGACAAAGCTGTAAGTTGTTTCTTCTGCATCTGTTGTTTTGATATTGCATGTTTTGCATGTTCCCTTTCATTTAGTTTTAAGTACTTTGAAAATAATCTATCGATGAAAAAATTCATTTTGGGAACATTTTTTTGTCATGTTTTATAGTTTTTGTGCTGCAGTGCACAGAGTGAGGTGGTCTGCATTACTTAATATGGGGTGAGCGAAAGGAAAGCGCACTTTTTAAATAATGTTTTAAACTTTAGATTTTGGGTACATTTTATCATGCGAATGGGTTAAGTTCAATTCAAATCTTGAGTCACTGATGCAAAAGGCCAAGTAAATAATAAATAAAGGGAATTAATGACTACAGTCCCAGTCATCTGACTTTTGGTAGTTACTTAATATATTGTGAAACCATCTGTGACATTTGGCTCCTTTAAGCACAGAAACAGCCACATTTTCTAAAATATCAAACTTTCCTTTCTTACCTTAATCTCTTCAGTAAAGCTTTGACACTTTTATCAGCCTGAGATTCCAGTTTCCCTGTAGAAGCTGCTCTCTTTTCTGTCCTGGACCAATCGGCCTCGTTCTCCAAGAGACACGATCCAGAAATGGTGAGCTATTTATTTAAACAAATGCTCAGAGTTAACACCATGTCTCCATTTCTGTTGTGTTAATATCACTTAACTCATGGCATTAATTAGCTGATCACTAGATTACCATTTTAAATCTAAACAGTAAAGTTGTGCGTTACTTTTTCCACCGCTGGGACCGGCTCTTCATCCTGCTCCCCCGCTGCTCCTGGATACCGACCCATCTCTGGTGTCAGTGCCTCCTGCACTAGTTGCACTCTGCACCTGACTCCCTGTGGCAACAGGGCGGCTCTCCTCTGGGGAAAGTTGCCATGGTGTCTCTTTGTCAGGCCTGCCATAGCCAGGAAATCTGGACCCCTTGGGTTAAATAAACAGATGAAGCAGAAGAGCAGCTGCAGGTTTGAAATCCCCCTGTGAGCTCAGTGTTTGACTGTAAAAAAGGTTAAAAAAAAAAATAATAATAACATAATGAGGATAACAGCAGGAAATATTTTTATAAAAGCACATCAGTGGATCTTTTCTGTAAAGGTTTACACAAACCAAAAAGAGACAACACCACAGAAAGGTGCCATGTATAAAACAGCTATTCACAGAAGCGTATCATCTAGTAAAGGACTAATCAAAACATAATTAACTTCACCTTAGTCTGAACCAAAAACATCCAAAACAGCTTCAGATATCCAGGAGAACACGTCTACGAGTGAATGTCTGCAAGGAAACTAGGAGAAGGATGGAGCTGTTCCATGTGTCCAGCATTGGGGGGGGGGGGATCACATGAGATCTGATTGGTTGGAAGCCTGAGTCAGCATTAGCCCCTTGATACTTCTGCTCTCTTCACCAAGAGTCACAACCGGTGAGTGTTTGCGTCAAACATCTTTAAGATGCTTTTTTTTTTTTTTATAGGACAGAGGCTTGAACACATTTAACTGGGAAAGAAATGTTCGTGGAGACCACAAAAAGTAATGTTAAAAACCATTGAAAACAATTGTTTACGTAAACATATTTGTAAACATCAGTCAATATATGTAATTGAATACAAAGGTATAGTGGTGTATTTTCGCGAATTCTTGAAAAGAAACTTAGGCCATGTCTCCACTTTAGAAAAAAATGCACATGTACAACCCTGTACCTGCTCCAGAGAGGGAACGTCTACTGAAACTAAATAGAATTGTTAACTAGGCTTTTTAACTTTTTCAACTTGACTTTTTAACTTTTCAATTAGCTTTTTATCTTTTTTCTTGAATTGTTAACTTTTTTCCAACTTAATTTGCAGTAGGTAATATATCATTCAAGGGTTCATTTAATTGATCAAATGCCAAAATAAGATGTCCAGTTATGTAGCAGCATCAAAAACTGTAACTTGACCTATAAAGGGTTAATTCCTCGTTTACAGACAGTTCAAAATGCTTCTGCATGACTTTTAACTGGGACACATAAGTTTGAACATATCTTCCTAGTTTTAAGTTCACTTCACTGGCTGTCGGTTAATTTTAGGATTCATTTAAAAATCCTTTTATTTAGTTTTCAGTCTTTAAATGGTCTCGTCCCACCATGTGTCACTGATATCCTACATCCCTATGTACCGCTTCGTTCTCTTAGGTCAGTGGATCAATTACTCCTCAGTACCTAAAATGACGTGTAAACTCAAAGACCCCTTCTAAATTCTTCACCTTTTTCTCTACCTTAGACTTGCCAAGCGGCTACAACCAGGTACAGAAGCAGATTGTCACTAAATGGCTAAATACACTAAATGTGTACCCATTTGGTATATTGGACTGGAACAGAATGCCATTTAGGCTTTCTAATGTGCCTGCTACATTTCAAAGACTGATGCAGTGCTTTTTCCTCTGACGTACAGTCATTGAGTCGGTCATTGCTCCCGTACCACAGTGATAGAGTTGTTTTCTTCCACTTATGAGCAGCTTTTCAAGCGTCTGGGGATGGTTTTGAAGAAGGAGGCCCTCAAGACGAAATGAAAAAGAGCTTTTTTCTTCAGCCAGAAGTTAAAAACTTAGGCCATATCATTTCAAACAAAGGTGTTATAACTGATCCAGCTAAAATCGAAGCCGTGGGCAGCTGGCAGCAAGCAGCCCACTACAGCTGACCTGAGGTCCTTCCTTGGGTTTGCAAGTTTCTATTGTTGTTGCAAGCTGTGGGAACCCCTTCACCAACTCATTGGACTCAAAAGCAAAGACCAGGACAGAACATCAGTGTGAGGTGGACTGAGGAACACCAATAGAGCTTTGAAAAATTGAAAAGGAGTGCTTCACCTGTGTTTCTCAATGCTGACTTTTCCCTAAATTTTATATTTCTACTCTTTCATTTTGGTTCCATACCTGTACATTTATGATTCACCCTCTTACAGTGATTTGTTTTCATAGATTTGTGATCTGTAGTTATAATTTGCAATTGTCAATTTGTGATTTCTACGCGTAAATGTATGATTTGTAGTTGTAGGTTTGAAATTATTACTCGAAATTTTTGTGGATCATCCTCATAAAATCATACTCGTGAATTTCTGATTTAAGGTTGTTTCATATTCTGATCACAAATTAAATATCTGATGTTACTTGTATCTGGATAAACAACAAGTAACAAATATAAATCCTAAATACATTTACATTATTATGTTAGATTTAGAAAATCAGACACCTCTCAATATCTTTATATTGACAGTTATATTAAGAAAAGGGGGAATCAACTGTGCCATGAGTAGCATCCAGTGGGCAGGCGTCTACGCAAAGTCGACAAACTGATCGGCATCGCATGTAAATATAAGAGAATATAAGAGATTTTCCTGGAGTCTCAATCCCAATTAAACCCTCATTAAACTCAACAAACCGAACGTGCTGAAGCTTTTCTGAATAAAAGGTGCCTCTTGCTTAAAAATCTGTCAAAAATACTATTGTCTACTATGATGATCTACTGTAAAATCACAGCAGCATTAGTTCAGAAAGAGAACGTTTTTATTTATTTTTGTAAAAATAATCTCATTAATTCAAAAAAAATAGGTGAATGCAATATGCTTCCATAATAAAACAATCCTATGAATAATTATAAGAAAGGAATTATAAGAAAGTATAAGACATAGTTGAAAAGACACAGAATTGGAGAAAATAGTCTAATTACTGTCAAAAAACTTTTGATTGCCCTTTTTTAATTAAAATTCACAAATTCTTATCTATTTTTTTTTTTCTTGCCAAATGTCCATTTGATGAATGATTAATCCTATAAAATGTTCCTTCCTATATCAGGCTATATTACTTAACATTCACTGGTGCCGAGGAAGGATTTACCATCTGTTAAGGAAATATGCTTCCCCAGTGTTAACATCTAAGTTTTCTCAGACTGTACTGACTTTCCTTGGTGTCATTTTCTTCTGATTCTATCTCACATTTTGTATTTTTTTGGTTTTATTTTTTTCTTTATTCATACATTAGTCATATAAAATCCTCATTAAACAAAACTGCAGTTCTTTTCATGACAAATTCACTTTTAGTTTCTACAAATTGCTTTGCAAACAAAATTAGGAAACATTTGGGCCTCCAAGCAAGTATCTAAATAGATTTAAAGCAAACATCTTACCACACTGATGATGCCGTGTTCCTCCTATGATGAGAGCTGATGTAGCTGATGTGGCAGTCGGAGGATTTGTGGGCCAGAACTCACCTCTCTGTATTTTTCTGACCAATGAGATGTTACACCCTGTAAAGGTAGCTCAGACTTTGAATAACAGACCTTTATGTAAATCAGCTCCAAGACTCTCTGAGTGGAGCTGTTGCTATTACTCAGGCGTTATCAGAGCAAGCGGTTTGCTCATGCAGAAAGTCACAGTTTGACACAATTAGAAAGTGTTTGCAGCAAGGGTCAGTTAAACTATTCCATTTATTTAATATCAGTCTGCAGATGCAGCATTCATGCAAATGTATTGTAAGGCTAAACAATAGTGTTGCACCGATACCAATACCAGTATCGGGCAGGGCCCCGATACTGTACAAAAATGGTGATACAGTATTTACGAGTACTTTCAAATAGGGCACTGATACCATTTTGAGAATCAGAAGTTTATTCAATTGTCACCCATTCCAGGTAGGCAATGAAAAGTTCTACTGGATTCACTTATAATCGTCTTTTTCCTGCTTCACAAAGGTAGGCAGCAGCTTGGCAAAGCCATGATGGCAATTATTTTACATTCAAGTAATATGGAGTTCTTCATATATATACACACATCAATTTCAAACAGACGGTACGGTACGGTACGGTATGGTATGGTATCAGCCAATGCTGCACAGCCGGATATGGGGTATCTTATTGGGCCCAGAAATGGCATCAGCGCAACACTTTTAACCAGCTAGGGACCAAAAAAATCTAAAAACTAAGTCAGACCTAAGTTAGCTTGTAAATGATAATAGTTTGCAAAGCTGCATCAAAATGCGATCTGCAACTAGTTTAGGTATCACATTGTTTCAGAATATGACTGACCACAGAAATAAAAAAGAAACAAAGCAAACCTAATTTCCTGAGCACTCTAGCAAGTATAGTCTTAGAAGGAAGGATGATCGTTGAAGCTTATTTTGCAGTTACAGGACAAGTGATGGAGAACTAGGTATATTCTAGAGCAGGAGTCTTCAAGGTTTTCCAGGCCAAGGACCCCCAAACTGATGGTGAGATGTAGCAAGGACCCCCTAATTATATATATTGTATGAAATTGTGTTATATCAAACTGGTCCTATAGTCAATCTATTACGTATGGAGTCATGTAACGAAAGTAATTTCTCCCTGGGATTATTAAAGTATTTCTGATTCTGATTCCTGGTTGATGGGACAGGTGTTGTGAATGAAACTGTGCCCAGCGTGAAAGAGCTCCTGTGTGTCGCTGAATGTGTGCATTGATGACTGAAAGACATCTTCTGCCTCCATTTATCTGTTTACTACAATATGTTGAATTCATGTTAATGTGGATTTAACATTTCAGTTAGTGGAAAAAAATTGCAGGGGGAATATAAAAAACAGTCTAATCAACCAAAAGTTTTGCGACCTCCTAGGGGTTGCGGACCCCCAGTTGAAAACCTCTGTTGTAGAGTCAAATATGAAGCCATCTGTCCAACATCCACAAAATAATCCATCTCAGGTCAAATATGCCAAATGCAATGCCAAAATGTACAGTAATATGCCTGAAGCAGTCTTTGTGCTGCAAAGGCCCAGGGAACACCCAGAATGTATCTACAGGTCTGCTAAATTGAAGGAACATTGTGAAAAAGAGTGGGGGAAAAAATTTTATATCAGAAAGTCAGAGAATGCTTAAGTCAGGAAAAAAATGATTACTTCCAGTTATTTCAGGTAAAGTTCTTCTGGGTCACAGCAACAGAAATGAAATGTTTCACTGGATGTGTATTTATCGTAAACTAGTGCAAAACTGTTGAATTGCTTATAATTTAGCTATGCTAAATTGTATATTTTTGTGTACGTTATATTATTTAAAATTGATGACAATAAGATAATTTTCCCAGGTAAGGTTGAATTAGGGCTATTCTATTCTTAGTCCTAAGCTCTGTGTTAGGTTTTTAATGTTATTGTAATGTTATTTGTCTCAAGAGTTTATATAAAAGACTTTAGTTATTTATCCTTGAGAATATACTTTGTTAAAAACATCCATCAAAATACGGATGTATGAAAAAACTCTGTTTTAAATAAGCATGAGAAAATTTAAAACATGAGGCCTGCCTGTATAGATCCTTTTTTCAACCAGTTTCTCAGAGGTACTTTTCTCTGAAAACACCGTGTTAGGGGTGTTGGTCAGCCATGGAACGCTAGGTGTCGCTGTGGTTTTCAAACCTAACTTTGTCGGTGGTCAAATCTCGCACAAAACCGCGTTGTTTCCAAATCCCGTTCCTCTTTCAGCCAACCTCCAAGATGGTAGGTGCAACAATGCATTCCCTGGCTAGAGACTTTATATATAATCTGTCCCAATCCTTGTTTGTTATCACAAATTATACAACATTTACTGTATCTAAACATACACCCATCTATCATTTACCTTTCCTGGGTGTTATTTTCATGGTTTGGTAGGTTTTTAATAGTTGATAGGAGTTTGCAATGGGCTAACCCGGCTTTCGCTGGGCCGAGGCACTTTTACTGGTCAACAGCTTTTTCTGTGCTAGCGTACATAAAACCCGCACTAAATATACATACACGTACTTTTGTAATTATATTTACAGCCCTTCTGGTAGTAAATTTAGCTGTACCTTTTGTCATACTAACAGAAATAAGCCATCGGCTAGTGAGTGATGTTGTTAGCTACCTAGCTCGTAGCTCCTGGCATGCGTAAAGACCTGCATCCTGTGATGAGTTCCATGAATGCGTTAGAACTGTTCAGATAGGCTGTCATTCAAACAAGCGTATCTAGTCTGCTCTGGTAGATAGACGTTTGGTGAAGAGATAACTGCTGTAAATGTTAACCATCATACTGTTCCTGACAGCCCACCAAGAATTCCAAAACCAGGAAGCTCCGTGGACACGTGAGCCATGGACATGGTCGTGTTGGTGAGCATCCTTTGTTTATTAAGTGAAGATTTAAGGATTGTGTAGAGTTGTTCATAACAGCAGAATGTCTCTCTCCACAGGAAAACACAGGAAGCATCCTGGAGGTCGTGGTAATGCTGGTGGTATGCATCACCACAGAATCAACTTCGATAAATAGTAAGGATGTGAGATTATCTGTATGCACAATACATTTCATCTGCTTTCTATAGCGTAACTATAGTTGATTTGTTTGAACAGGCTTTGTGCTCTAGGAGAGCCTGCAGATTGCTGCTTGACTGACTTTCTCCTTGTAGCTTCACTTAGTGTTCTTTTACGTTAAGTAAAAAAAAGCTGAATTTGTTTTCTGGTCAGCTAGAAGACTGGCTGGGAGGATGTGGACAGGTTGTACAGTGTTGTATGCCAGGGGTGCTGAAGTCCAGTCCTCAAGAGCTACTATCCTGTAAATTTGATGCACCCCATTTTAACAAACCTGAATCAAATGAATGGCTCGTTACCGTGCCTCTGCAGGGCTAAATGAGGGGATTGAGCCTTTCAATTGAGGTGTTTTGGAGAAGGAAGAGATGCATCTAAAAGTTACAGGATGGTGGCTCTTGTGGACTGGACTTGAGCACTCCTGCTGTATATGTAGTGGGGGAGAAAGTGTTCAACTATTCGCCCTAGTTAAATAAACAGATCGATGGATTTCACTCAGTCAGCACTTTATCAAATCTTCGCAAAGAGAGAACATCATCATACAGCCCTAATGGCACAGCATTCAGCCCTGTTCTGCCTGAGCAACGTGTGTCCCCCCCTTACTTACAAGAATGGAAAGTAGTTAGAGTCAAAACAAATTACAGACACTTTGGTAAACTTTAACATGTTATGAATCAACCTTGAGAAAAATCTGGCTTGTTTTGGGAAGAAGCTTTGGTGAATCTTGTCTACAAACATCGTCACGCAGAAAATTGTGTGGTCTTACAGGTGAAACGGACTGAGTGAAAACTTTCATAGTGAGTGAATAGGATAAATATATGAAAGAGAAATCTAAATTTTCCAAAAACAGCAGGGATGCAACAACAGCCATCAGGACAGTAGATCTAGAGGACCTGGGTTGGAGGTCCTGGCTATTGAGCAAGAAAAAAAATCTCAATCATGTTATTCAGAGGACTTTAAATTATTGGTTCAGTGTGATGGAACCTTGAAATGTTCTCAATCCATCAATTCTAAACATTGACACTGTTAACCACTTTATTTGATTCATATAACCTGTAGAGCAGGGGTGTGTTACCCTGGTCAATAAAATCTAATGTCCTGTGGGTTTTAGATGCATCCCTGCATAGCTGAATCAAAATGACTTGTTACAAGGCTGTTTACAAACTTGATGGAATAAGGGGGTAATTCAGTCATTTGAATTGGCTGTGTTGAAGGGGGAAGCATCTAAAATCTGCTGGACAGTAGATTTTGAGCACCAGGGCCGGAGACTCGTGCTTTAGAGTGACCTAGAGACTCAGAAGGCATCCTGTAATATTTGTTTTCATGTATTGTAGAGCGTTTTTGTTTTTGGGTTGTTTGATATAAAACACCTTGGGTTGCTCTAAACTATTAATGCTCTTAAGCCCTGTGCAAAGGAATATAAAGGCTCCTCGATTTGGGTGCTAACTTTGATCTAAATGTTTCCTCAGCCATCCGGGCTACTTTGGGAAGGTGGGAATGAGACATTACCACTTGAAAAGGAATACATCCTATTGCCCCACCATCAACCTGGACAAACTGTGGACGCTGGTGAGCGAGCAGACCAGGCTCAACTATGCCAAGAAGCCCGATGGCCCAGCGCCTGTCATCGATGCTGTGCGCGCTGTGAGTACTGAGTTTAGGTTCTCTCATTGTTACTTAAAGGCCAGATCAACTGGGAAGTTTTTGTTCTTAAATTCCTATTTGTTCATCAAGAAGTGGGTATATCTGGAACTTATGTAAATTGTTTGTGGGGGATTTAGTTTTTAAACATGGGTCGTTTATACCGCAGAAGCATTATAATTTATTTATTTTTCATTGCAAAAGTGCTACAGCACAGTGAGGCTAAAGGGTTTGTAAGCAGGGTATTTGCCTTAGCTGTAGATTGATAAATCAGCCAATGTTTTTGTCTGATATTGGTCTTTTTTTTCCCTTGCATTAGCCAATAAATACAGTTTATACATACAGTCCCCCATTTAGAAGCCATGGCTTCAGATTCTCTAAAGTGTTGGAATTTACCCTCCCTCCGTTTACTATCCAATCGTAAATTTTAAATCGTGGGGAGTGGTGGCCTAGGGGTTAGGACGTTGTGCTTGGCCTCCAGGAGTTCTGAGTTCAAGCCCCACTTCCACAGTGACCACACACTGGGTCCCTAAGCAAGACCCTTAACTCCCACTCTGCTCCCTGGGCGCTGCACAAAGGCAGCCCACTGCTCCGCAAGGGGATGGGTTAAATGCAGAGAGTGAATTTCTCCAGTGTGAGATAAAGTTCAATATTATTAAGGTTTCTATTTTGTTTAGACTAAGGTGTTTATCTTTGTCATTTCTTTCTAGCAAACAAAAATCCATTTTAAAAATAATTACATTCGTCAACCTTTAAAATCCGCAGGTTAGAATACGACAGCCGTGTTATCAAACTGTTTTTAAATCCAGTTGAAACGGTTTGTTGTAGCTCTGAAACAATTTATCGGATTAATAATCGTGATTAATCGATTATTGAAATAATGATCTAATTTAATTGTTAACTGGAGTATAGAGGCTGTAAAACATGCCTTTAGCTGACAAAAACCCACTTAGAGCAGTAATTTTTTTCAAAATTGTAAAAAAAAAAAGGTAAACATTTTTGCATTTAAGATTTTAAAAAAACTTTTAATATGCTCTTATCCAGACCTCAATGGGAGATGTTTTAGTTTCACCTGATTTAATTTAATTTAAAAAAATAATCTTTAAGGTTTTTTTGGATATCCAATTATTGATTAATTGAAAAAAAAAACATAATCAACAGATAAGTCAATTTGTGAAATAATAGTTAGTTGCAGCCCTAGTTTTGAGTGCAGGACTTGGTACAGGAAGTGGAATGAGGCAGAGACATTTTAATAACTTCAGTTCTAAAAAAAAAAAATGGTTTTAAGGTGAGGTTGTGTATATTTTTAGATAAGTTTGTACCTGTTGCATCTAAGAGGAGATCAAATATATTCCTGTAAATTTGAAAGTTGTGATGAAGTGAGCGAGCTCTTTGGACAGTTGAATGGACTCTGGCTGCCATTGATTAAATCCTCTGATTTTAGCTATTTAAAGCTCTTGGAGGATGTTTGGAAATATTGTTTTACCCCCACTAAAATTTGTAGTATTCAGAAGTAATGTTTCTATATCTGCCCAATTAAATGAGCCAGAAAGCAGTTTTTCCTCAGTGTTAAAAATTTTTTCTCTCCCCTTCTCCTCCACAGGGTTATTACAAAGTTCTGGGAAAAGGCAAACTGCCCAAGCAGCCCGTAATCGTCAAGGCAAAATTCTTCAGCCGGAAGGCCGAGGAGAAGATCAAGGAAGTGGGTGGAGCCTGTGTGCTGATGGCATAATGTTCCTTTCTACTTGTTTTGGAAAAATAAACTATGTAAATGGAACCTGTTGTCTTCTCTTTCATTCGGTCACTTTAGAGCGGGGGGGGGGGTTGAAATTATCGCTACCCTGAAAAGTATTGATACTCAAAAGCTGTATCCAGATACATTATTAATTTGGCTGTCGATACTTAATACATTGTTTTTACTATTATGTCTAGATTAGTCACATATTAAAAGAATAAAGTATTGCCAAGTGTTAATATTTGGATCCTTTTGTTCATTTGCTAACTTATTTAACTATTAGAATCTGGGTTGATGTTGAGAAAAAGCCATTTTCAGATTAGATAAGGGGAGTTTTTTCATACCTTTCATATTGAAGAGGGGGGTTCCCACAATATCAAATATATTTTAGGGTATAGAGTATTGCATTTTAGTATAGTGACAACACTACAGTGAGCTCTGGAATAAATTCAAGCTGGAATAGGCCTGGCTGTTTTCTAGGTCGCTGTTGGACCAATTATATGAATGATGAATGGTAGGACAGTTTTGAATTCAACAGACAGGAAGCAAAATCCATTAAATTATTTCTAGGTTCAATTAAAAGGTGCATTGAAATAATCTAAAACTGAAAATGTCCACAAAAAGTTATATTCTTTAATCAACACTGCATTGGAAGTCCCTAAGTATTTCCCTGCAATGGTAAATATGTCAATCATGTGCTTACATCCAGGAGGTGGTTTTTATCAAATGTTAATCTGAACTGTTGTAATTTTAAAATTTTTCTAAAATAAAAAACCTTTTCAAAAGCATGTACATGCTATATTTAAATATGAACAGTCTTATTTGATGGAAACCAGGCCTCCTTGATCAGTGTAGTGACGTAACACCTTTGCTTCCGGAAAGGGGTTGGGTTTAAAGGAGCCGAATTTCCTGTCATGTCGTTTGAACAGAAAGTATGCGCTGAAATGACAGTTGAGGAAAATGTAAGTAGCTCTGCTTATTCTCGGTGCTTTCTGAAGGTTTTATTAATGGAGGTGCTTCATTACGTGGCCCAGCAGCAGGGGGTTGTCATGACGACACTGTAGAAAACAGCAGCGCGTGCAGGTGAAACTTCTTAGCTGGAGCTCTGATGAACGGGTTGCCTTAAAGCTGCGAGATCAAACCTCTATGGAAGCCCCATTTGAAAGTAAAAAAAATAATGGTATGTCCTAATTATGAGATACTCAGTCATAATGTTGACTTTCATTGTCATGATACTCAAATGCTGTATCTGTATAAAATAACTACTAATTTTGCCTTCATTGATACTAATTGCAAGTGTCATTTGTATATTTTTGCATTAATTACGTTAGATTTCAAGATAATTTTCACAAAAGATTAATCCCTCACTTAAAAAATTGCCAAATTATGTTATATTTGTGTTATTTTGCATTTATTTGGCTGATAATTTAACTAATGAAAGTAGAGATTGAAAAAGCTGATTTGCTTATGTAAATGGCTATATTTTTTATGCCTTTATTATTTGGCTTTTTTTTTATCTCTATAGTTTCAAAAAGGGTATTCATTATTGAATATTTTCCTTTGTATTGAAATCCAATTGGGAACATAGGTATCATGTAAATCCTACTTTGAAAGTCAAAATTATGACTTTATATCTCATCATTATAATGTATCATTTACCTTACATTTTTATACTTTATTTGGTGAAAAGGGGCTACCATATTTTTCTCTAAATTCCTTAAAACTGGCATCAGATTTGGCTTTTCCCCTAGAAACCAGCTCATTATGGCCAGTTTATTTAGCTTGAACATTTGTTCTAAATATTTTAAGCCAAAGATCTGCTTCAATGGCAAGCTTTAAGAAGCAAACTCCTCTGTGAACATCACATAGAGCAAAGTTATAACCTTTGTGGTGGTGTGTCGTTTTTCATCAGTATGCACCTTCAGCTCAAACTCCCTAGTCAGAAGAGTTTACCTAAGGTGGCCGGGAGGTGAAAACCAACATTTACAAAATCTAAAAAACTTTTACAAGTTCCAAAGCAAATTATTATTTCAGAAAAGAAATTTACATTTTAAAAAACACTTTTACAAAAAATTATAAAAATAAACAAAACACTTTTAAAAGTGGATCTCAGAGATAAGCAAAAATGCTATATTTATGCTATAGCAGGTATATACAACTTGGCCAGTGAAATTGGTATTTTTGCCCTTAAAATAAGAAAATTGAAATGATGCACTTTTAATAACAGTGTTTTTTGGTTTGTTTGTTATTTAAAACGCAAATCCTCTTATTTTATTGGAGGATTGTCTTACTGACCTGCTCCAGACGAGGGGAAAATACAAGAAGGTATTACAAAAAAAAAAAAATAAAGACATCAATCATTTTTTGCTGTGTAAATTCCATAGGTCTGCCTTGCAAATCTTTGACCCGTTATTTGAGGAAAACGGCATTGATTTTTAGGGAAAATGCAAAAACCCAGAGAGGCTGGTTTGTGTGGCAGACTGGAATGGCCAGATTTTCATTATGAAAGATCTTCACCAATCTTTTGGAGCCATGTTGTAATGAAAAGGAATAGAAAAAAAAAAACATGATCAGCTCAGTAAAGGTAACCCCTAACTACCACGATATATCAACTTAATTCTCGAAATGGCGAGTTTAAAGTCGACAGGGCGAGTTTAAATACGACACGTCGAGATTAAACTCAACAAGACATTTCAACTTTATTCTCGAAATGGCGAGTTTAAAGTTGACACGTCGAGATTAAACTCAACAAGACATTTCAACTTTATTCTCGAAATGGCGAGTTTAAAGTCGACATGACGACTTTAAAGTCGACATATCGAGTATAATCTCGTCATGGCAAAAATATTTTTTCTCTTCATGTGTGGCCCTAATACTCCGTCGTACTAATACTCCGTCGTACCTAACCCCCCCTGCTGTTGTCTTTTAGGTAACAATAACTTGTTAATGGCAAGGCAAGCCTGGCTGGATTCTTCCCTGCGGCGCTCGGGCAGACTGGGCTTGGAAGTGTTGGAACGAGCCTCCAGGCGCAGCGTCGACTGGACAAGCACGGCTGCATCCCAGACCCCCTCATCTGAAGATGATTTTGTAGCTGCAAAGGTGCAAACATTCTTACCTATTTTTTATTTTTTTGTCCATCCACTGGTCAGATCATATTTTTCTTTGACAAATAAACTCCTACTTTATTTTCCCCTCCAGAGAAAACATGACCTTCATGATGCCTTTACAACTATTGCAGACTTCATGGCAAAGACGAGCTTTCATTGCAAGGTTGGGGAAGATCCTAAACAGTCCAAGCTTACTTTGCCTTGCAAAAAATATTATTGATCAATTAAATATTTCGATCAACAATATTAAATATATTGTGATTGTATGGATATACAATATAAAATAGTGAATAACAGTGACTTGGAAGGAAATTGATGTTTTAAACATTAAAGGTATAGTGGAGGAAGTTCTTTTTCCGGGTGGATCATCAAAAGAAGTGGTCCTCCTAATTGTCAATCATTCTGGTGTTATGTTTACGTAAGGCCGTCCTACTTGCTCATTCCCATTTTCACTTATTGGTGGTGAGTCTGACGTAGTGGAAAAATTGCAAATCTTCTTTTGGTAAGTAAGCTTGTATAGTCGATGCAAACTGCAACTTTTAAGCAGAGCATAAAAGAGGAGAAATGGGCTTGTGCACGCTCTCGCATACGTTTAATAGGCGTTAGCTCTCAGGAGTGGGTACAGAGTTGTGCATGAGCATTTGTTTCTTAAGTGGAGAAGTTGGGTCTTTTCAAAAATTAACGAAAATCCTCCACTAAACCTTTAACATTTGAACATTGTAGCCTCTGTAACTGATAGGCATAAATGGAAGCCAGACAAAATACGATAAAGGAGGAAATGAAAGATTTTAGCAAATTTGAAAACCAGCTGTTTTATCGCTGCTTCACAAATATAGACTCTTTTATAGATGGAAAGAAAAAAAAAATGTAATACAGACATAAAACTTTGGAAAATGGTTGTGAGAGTAACTTTTCTGTTTCCTCAAATGTGATTTCAGATTATTTTTGTTACATTTTTTTAATTTTATTTCACAGATTTTTTTTCACAGATCTTTGTTTTTTATTTATTTTTTTTTTTTTCAAATTTCTGTTTATCAGATTGAATTTTACCAAATGCATTTATCTTATCAAGTTCCGTTTTCAAGATCACATTTTTTTATTTCAAGCCCACTACAATCGCTTGCTCTTGACCACTAAAAGTGATTTTACCAGCATCCATGCAGACCAATAGCGTTGGATCTTCACTTCTCCTTCAGAGGGAGGCCCGCCCCCAGAAGTGAAGGGAATGTGATCTGTAATATACAGTTTGAAAAGGATGCAATATGTAAAACTCAGCCTCGAAAACAGAAATCTGAAGAAAAATAAATAAATACATATGAAACTAAAAAAAAAACTGCAAAAGAAATGAGAAAAAAAGTAATTTGAGAAAATAAATTTGGAAATAAAACTGAATTTAGGAAAAACCAAAACATAAAATATTCAACAGAGTGTAATTTCTTGATTGGATTTTTTTCCATTTACAAAACATCTGTGCTTGCAACAATAATTGAACAAAATACACTCCATATGACATGCACTGTGTCATGTTTGTCCTCACTTTTAGGTGTAATATAAGATGTGAACAAGTTAATACAGCTGGGAGACTGTAGACCTTCAGCCAGACACACACAGGACCAAACATTGTCTTTTTTTTCTTGTTTTCAATGCAGAGGTTTTATGAGTCTGGCAGCTGCACCGAGCCCAGCGATGCTGAAAAGAACCACATTTCCAGGTTCCACACACGACCAGGAGCTGGGCCAACATCTGCACTGCCGAGAAGGAAAAGTGTGAGACTCAGCTGTGATCAAAACCTTTTCATGTTATTCTGCTTTGTTTTGTTTTTCTTTTTTTTTAAGCTTTAGAGGCTTTTTTACATTGGACCCTTGATTTTACGTTATATCATCCGCGCGCCAGACTGGAGTTGTGACAAGCAGCCCGGGCCACAGGCGGCTACGTGCTACCCCTTTTATTCATTTGACTAGCTAATCTGAATCGTTCAATTCCATTTGGAGAGCGAGATCATCTGTGGTAGTAGCACTAGACATCACCAGGCATGTGAGTAAAACTAGTAGCAGTTCAGCGGACAGGATGAAGGAATGGTAGCCGGCGCATGCGGATGACGTCATACACGCGACGCTTCGTTTTTTAAAGATATAAACATAAAAAAATATAACCGCGGTTGTCTGGAGGACAGTGATTCGCCTACATGTTATGAATGCTGGCGTACCATAAAGAATAAATTAAGAACTGTTTAGTTTGTGCCTTCAAGTCGTTCGCCAATAGGAAGACGTTACTTGGTTATAACCTAATGGAATATCTTCTGAACAGCTCCAAATGACACAAAGCTAACGTGGGTGAGTAGAACATGATGTAATAACGTAAAATCAAGGGCCAAATGTAAAAAAAAAATGCGTTTCCCTTTAATGAAATTGGGAAAAAAGGGGTTTGAATTTCCTACTGTGACAAACAGCTTAAAACTACATTACTGTGTATGTTGTTTGGATAAAAGAAAAATCCTTTCTGTTTGGTTTCCCTTTCCACAGGCCTCTGTCTCTGCGACGGGTGAAGACTTTTACATTGAGGTGTCACCTGGAACGTACGCTATCACTGCCAGTTTGCCAGATTCACAGCGACAGACTAAGCTGGTCAGCATTAAACCCGGCGAGAGCGTCGATCTCACGTTTAACCTCTAGGTGATCCAACCTAGCAGCCCTGCGCTTCAATAACAAAGCTGACCTAGCTAAACTGCACATGTGCCTCCTGCCTTTTTTTTTTCTTTTACCCAGACGTCTGCTTTCAAATTTTTCACTTGAAATGTATCTATTTTTTGATTATGGAAAAACATTATTAATGGATCTTTGATATATTAATTTTATTTGAATATTAGATTTTTTTTTACCAGACATCATGTAAGCATTTACAGATTTTATAATCAGTGACTCTACAGGAGTATTTTACAATAAAGTGTATATTTTTTATTACTTTCTAGGTTTTTGACTAAGATAAGAAACTTGTTGCTTATTCCACATCCAGTGATACATTTGGTGGATTTTTTTTTAAATCGTTTTACCAGGTGGGATCATACAGGGAGAGATTTCTATGGCCACAATCTCTCTACATGGTTTAGAGTCTGGGGTTAGTGAGTGGCCATTTCAGTACCAAGTCCTCTACGTGTATGGAATGACTTTTGTTCTCTTATTGTTGCAAGCAACAAACTCATATTTAGATTTCATTTAATATTTTTTTCTAATTTTAATATTCAAACTTTATATTTTTTACATATTTTATGTTGCTTAGCTTTTTTTTTTAGTTGTACAAGTTGCATTCTTGTCAAATCGTGTTTCCCAGATCAGATTCTTTTCTCTTTAAGCCCCATTCAAGCACTCAGCAAATAGAAACATTGGTAACGTCCACAGAGATGAATAAAAATGCATCTTTGCTTCTCAGTTCAAAGGAAGACTCGCCCCTGAGAATTGAAGAAAATGCAACTTGAAAAGAATGAGATTTTTAAAAATCTAAAAAAAAAATTGAAATACGTGAATCTATGTAAACCTCAAAGCTGCTCTTGAGCTGCTTTGTTTTATTTGCAAGTTTTTCAAAGTTTAATTTCTGTATTACGTTCATATAGTTTTTTCAAAAACTTTTCCATTCGGAGAATGTCTTCTTTACCCGCAGAAATAATGAAACAAAGTTCTCTCTATATTACACAGAAAGTACACAAAAGTACATTGCAATGGCACAAAGGTAATTAAATGATTAATGAATGTAGGTCAATTAATAGATTACAAATGGATAATTATAAATAAGATAATCATTAAAAAAATAAAATGATCACCTAAAAACATAAACTATGATTCATAGATGAAACATTAAGAAAAAGAAAAGTTAAAGTCCATATGACCCAGTTTTCTGTTTTCCAGCTAAAAGCTAGAGCTATTTTTTATTAAAAAGTCCTGGTAGATGTCAATAGCTATGTTTCCATTAATTATCCAATTGTAATTACAAAGATAATGGAAACTGCAATAAAAAATAAAAAAGAAACTCAAGTT